AAGACAAAATGTTTTAAGAAGAAATATCTTTTATTATCTAAGTAGGTGAAAAAACTATCTTTAATATCCTACCTTAGTTGATATGACCTACAACTCGATATCTAAATCTTTAATGTATGACTTATAATAAAAATGAAGTTCAGTTCGTTTGATTGTTTAGTCTTAACATACTTGGTAGGATTATGGTATAAATATTTAATTAAAATAGTTGATACATTTATATTTCACAGATGTAAGTTACAAAATAAGTAACATTGACCCATAAAACAAATTGAAAACTACAATCTTAAAACAAGAATTAAACAAGTAGACTACCATGTTCAGGAATGAAAAACAATGCATAATTAGGACTAAAAGAAAAGTTTGTTGCAGGATTTTTTTTTTAAACTACATGTGGAATCACCTACCTTTGATTTAGCAAGAGAAAAATGCATTAGTTTTACTAAAGAGTATCATTTCTTCAATCTTACATTCATTTGAGAAGTTGTTAAAATCACAATAAATTTTTGAACTCACAAAATTATTTCGACGAATAATGTTTATTGTTTTCTAATACTAAAAAGGTCAAAGGCTCTGTTTTAAAACTCGGACCGGACCGGCCGGTCGAACCGGGAACCGGCCAGGTAGCCGGTCCGAGTCATATTAAAAAATCGGAAATTTAAAACTCGGTCAAAAACAGGGTTTGACCGGGAAAAAACCGGTTTTTCCGGTTCAACAGTAATTTTTTTTAAAAAAATTCAAACTTTTTAATATTATGTTTTGACCCCCTAAATTGTTAAAACTTATTGATATACCTCAAATATTTGATACTTTATAAATATTGTCCTAAAATTTGATGTTATTTTTCAATTAAATTCATAATTTTAATTCTAAACTTGTTAATATTTATTAAATAATATAAATTGCTACTTGATTGTTCTAATTTCTTTGTATTTTCTTGTTAAATATATTTGAAACATCAAATATATATGAATATACCTTTATTAATATCAATATATTATTAGATATTATATATATAATATTTTAATTTTTAAATAATTTTTATTTATGACGTCATCCGGTTCGACCCCTATCAACCCCCGGTCGAACCCATTGACCCCTGACCCCTGACCTCGGCCGAGTTGCTATCCGGTCCGGTTCTGAAAACATAGGTCAAAGGAAGACGGGATCTAACCTGATACGTGCATAACATCTATAGCAAAACTTAACTTGCTATTAGCCTTCTAATGTGTTTCTATATTTCCATCAATGCACATATAACTTTCTATACCAAAATCTTTGCTTCGGAACATAATTGTTTATTTATTTTTCCATTTTTTGTTATAAAATAGAATTTATAACTCAAAGTGCAAAGTACGTGGTAGTAATCATGAAAAAAGGACATGCCAGTTACTGTGAATATGTCCAGAAACCTTAATAAGATGTCTACAAGCAACCAGAAAAGAAGTTTCAAATTCCACAAGCTAATATAAGATGGTCAATTTGTCAGCAGGGAGGCATCACTATTTCGATTCGACTGTGAGGAGCAATATACGCATTAATTGATGAAACTTTGCTAGCATTCATTTACAGCATTTTACAGATCCTGCATTCATTTATAATGGCCTCCAATTCCGTCCATAAGCAGGTCAAACTGGATCGTTGGCGGCAAATGAACCAGAAGGTGGCCTCCAATTTCTTCTAAAAGTAATATTTGCAAGAACCATTTTGATCATCCAATCTACCAGAAACATGAGACTAGGTTTCTTGGTGAACAATACATCCAGGCAGAGGCATTCCTTGGTTCACATGTGAAGAAAAGTCAAGATTACTCAAATTATCAGTTCTACTCTTAGAAGCAGTTTCTGAATGCGTATCAGGAATATCCATCTGTAAACAGTATCATAATTTTCCTTGGTTTACATATGCGATAACACTATCACCAACCATCTGTACAGCACCCAATTGTGAAAACCCAACCAATAATTTTTTTTACCAACCATTCTGAAAACAATGCAAATATCCACTCCACTCCAATCCAATGGCCACCTCCCCTGCCTCCCAGTGACGGAGCCAGGATTTTTTCTTTGGAGGGCCAAAATTTTTTCGCACAAAATTATCTGAATATATTATGTTCTAAATATTTCATCTATTTAAATATATGACATCTTAAAATATCAAATATTAACTTTAATTATAAAGGTATGTCCATTTTATAAATATGTAACATAGTCATAACTAAAATTAAGACAAAAAATAACTTTTGATTAAATATCTTATAACATCACAAACCACCTAAGTTGCACATTATGAGAAGATGCTCTAACATGTCACTTGTGCAAAAAAAAAAAAAAAAAATATATAACTATGCAATATAAATATAACTATTTTCAATTAATAAAAGATAAAAGTTATGTTAGCATACCTTGAAATTTTATCCTCTTTTATTAAAAGTAAATTGAGGTTTACGTTCTTTTATAGAACTAAATTCATGTATAATTGAATCAATGCTAAATTTTTGAACAACTTCCTTTTTTATGTGCATTGTTAGACAATCATTCAAGAAATTATCTTTTATCTTACATTGGAGCTTTGTTTTGATTATCTTCATAATTGAAAATGTCCATTCTATAGACTATAGAACGGAGCCAGGATTTTTTCCTTGGGAGGGGGGCCAAAATTTTTCTGAACAAAATTATCTTAATATGTTATATTCAAAATAATTTTCATCTATTTAAATGTATGACATCTTAAAATATCAAATTTTAATTTTAATTATAAATGTATGTCTATTTCGTAAATATGCAGCATAGTCATAACAAAAATTAGGATAAGAAATAACCTTTGATTAAATATCTCATAACATCACAAATTACCCAAATTGTACATTATGAGAAAATGCTCCAATATGTCACTTGTGCAAAAACAAAAATATAACTATGCAATATAAATATAACTATTTTCAATTAATAAAAGATAAAAGTTATGTTAGCATACCTTGAAATTTTATCCTCTTTTATTAAAAGTAAATTGAGATTTACGTTCTTTTATAGAACTAAATTCATGTATAATTGAATCAATGCTAAATTTTTGAACAACTTCCTTTTTTATGTGTATTGTTAGACAATCATTCAAGAAATTATCTTTTATCTTACATTGGAGCTTTGTTTTGATTATATTCATAATTGAAAATGTCTATTCTATAGACTGTAGAACGGAGCCAGGATTTTTTCCTTAGGAGGGGGGCCAAAATTTTTCTGAACAAAATTATCTTAATATGTTATATTCAAAATAATTTTCATCTATTTAAATGTATGACATCTTAAAATACCAAATTTTAATTTTAATTATAAATGTATGTCTATTTCGTAAATATGCAGCCTAGTCATAACAAAAATTAGGATAAGAAATAACCTTTGATTAAATATCTTATAACATCACAAATTACCCAAATTGTACATTATGAGAAAATGCTCCAATATGTCACTTGTGCAAAAACAAAAATATAACTATGCAATATAAATATAACTATTTTCAATTAATAAAAGATAAAAGTTATGTTAGCATACCTTGAATTTCAACCTCTTTTCTTAAAAGTAAACTGAGTTTTGTGTTCTTTCATAGAACTAAATTCATCTATAATTGAATTAGTACTAAATTTTTGAACAACTTCTTTTTTTTTATGTACATTGTTAGACGATCATTCAAGAAATTATCTTTTATCTTGTTTTGGATCTTTGTTTTGATTATATTCATAATTGAAAATATCCGTTCTATAGTTGCAGTTGACATAGGAAGAGTGAGACAAATATAATCAATCTGTCAACAACAAGATAGATCACTCAATTTCTTGTTTTCACCAAGCCTTCAAGTAATTATTTGTATATTTGTATATGGGTCAACAAGAGTATAGATCACTAATTTTAAATTTTTAATCAATTAGGCTAAGTCGTATATTTGTATATGGACCAATAAAGTAATTATTTTTGTTGTAGCCCATTGATAATTATGAATTGAGTCTTTTATTATAATATATCAAATTGGGTCAATTTACTATGGATTATCAAATTATATGTTTAATTTTTTGAATGTTAAATAATTAGCACAATAAAAAATAAATAACTTTTTTTGAAGAAAAAATTAAATCATAGGTGGCTAATTCATACACACACACATATATATATATAAACTCTCATAATATAAATTAAAATTGTAAAAAATTAGGGGGGGACAACTTTGTCTTATACATATATTTATATATTATGAATTAAAATTTTCAAAACTTAGGGGGGCAGCCCCCCTGGCTCCGTCATTGCTGCCTCCTACACGTATCAACTCCCTGTTTTCCTTGGATTCTATGGGTACTTCGTGCGCTCCAGAATTTCTTTAATAGTACGACGTTTTCTTAAGCTATTATACACTTTAGGTTAAAAATCCAGGAAGCAATAAGGAATCACCAGCTTTTTCCTCCACAAAAAAAAAAATAAAGGAATCACCAGCGTTTTCCTCAATTGATAAGCAACCGGGAAACTCTTTTTTTTTTTTTTTTTTTTGGGGCATTCTAGGAGGAAGCAAAAAATTGCAGCAATCGATTTATGGGTCATAAGCACCAAAATAGTACCCGCTGAATATAGGTTCCACATTTCGAAACTTGGTGTCCGTGTTTTTTTTTTTCTTTTCTGCGGTTGTTTGGGTAGAAACAATGGTAAAGCAAGTTTTGAGAATTGGAATTTGTTTAAGTTTAGCGAATTAAAACTAATAGGTGATATAATAAATTCATATTGAAAATCATTCTATGTTTGTATGGCACACTAGAGATTGATAAAAACTTGCACCATTTATGTTAAAAAAATTTTTGAAAAGAAAGTTTGCACCATTTATGTTTCAATCATTTCTTGCTTGTGAAATTCCTTTTTCTCTTTTAACTGCTAAAGGTAAATGCATGCTACATATTTAGGGTTTAAACTTTAAATTTGGGTATAGGTTATGCATGCTAGAATTCACCTACATAAATAAAGACAGCAAGCAAATTCAATTTCTCCTTTGGTGTAAATATTGGATGACGGTAGAGATATCCACACGAAAGCCATTCGTGGTGCTTAAACTACTGTGTAGCTTTGGTCAGGCAGTGAAAGTTCTGAAGGACTAACAAGCTGATTCACAGCAATGGTGTGCAAAGGCCTAGTTGGTTCTCGCCTGCCCTCTTCAAATCGGTTCACCACTTGCTGCATTGTTGGTCGACATTTCGGGTTTGCGTTGATGCAATCCAGGGCTAACGCTGTTGCGAGAACCACATTTCGAACCACAAAAGGGTTAGTCGGAGGGGGCAGACGGGCATCAAAAAGATCCTTCAGCAGTATTGGTTCATTGGGTTGTGATGATATGCAAGAAAGGAATTCTCGTGGATGCTCTCCAAACAGCGTTTCCAGCACCACAACGCCAAAGCTATACACATCTGACTTTTCAGTGACCACCATGGTATAGGCTAGCTCTGCATTGACAAGTAAGTATATATTTGGATAAAAATGAAGTTAATCTCAACTGGGACAACTCTAGACTTGCTATTCCAAAGAAAATAATCGTTTCAGTTGGTAGGATTTTTTTCTCTTTTCTGTCCTTGAAAGTTAAGCCTAATATGTGCATATGAAAAACAAGTTGGTGAAAAGAAGAAAGTGATCTAGGATAGCAAGGTAACCTACCTGGTGCCATGTAACCAAAGGTGCCTGCAATGACCGTTTGATTTGATGAATCAAGTTCCAAAATCCCCGCAGTTCCAAAGTCAGAAAGAGTTGCTTCGAGCTGTGAATTCAAAAGAATGTTGTTGCTTGATACATCCCTGTGAATGATTGGCGGATCACAATGATGATGCAAGTAGGACAATGCACCGGCAATGCCCTTGATCAAATTCACTCTTTTAATCCAATCCAGCTCCACAGCTTCAGTTTCATCTCTCAAGATACAAAACAAGCTTCCTCTGTCCATATACTCATAAATCAGAAACATGCATCGCTTGTGCAGACAGAATCTGAAGAGCTTTACAATGTTCCTGTGCCTGATTTTAGAAAGCATGTCGGCTTCATTCCTAAAGCTCTTGTCAAAATTTGGATTCTCGCCTTCCAGACGGTGAAGCTTTTTCAAAGCCACTACTTTCCCACTTGGCAACCGTGCTCTGTATACAGAGCCATACCCCCCTGTCCCGATGCAATAACAGACATCAAAATCGTTGGTTGCTTTAATTATGTCTTTGTAAGCCATATGTCCATCATAGTTCCATATTCTGAAAATGTCTCCATGTTTATTGTCCATGAGCTCGACTTTAACTTTCTTGAAGCAGCGGATATAAATTACTAATCCGCCAGTTATTGCGAACACCAACAAGGTTACGCCAAGACCTATGATGTAGTATAGGGTGCGATGTCTATGATTTCCCACAACAACAGGAGTGTGATTTCCCATAACAGAAGGAGATACTCCACAAAGAGTGGAATCGTGACGCAAGTCTGGATTGCCGACAAATCTTTCTAAACCAAACTCAATGACAAGCTCGCACGGAAGTTCACCTTCCAAAGCATTATAGGACAGGTCGACGTCCCCCAGTCGCATAAGAGACGAGGGGACAGTGCCAGAGAGAATATTGTGGGAAAGATTCAAAGTCAAGAGGTACAGCTCGGATTTAAAAATGTCATCCCCAAATTGGGTAGAAATTGAGCCTGTCCGTTGGTTTGAGGAAAGATCTAGAATTTCTAGAGAAGGCATATTGAAAAGTCCAAGAGGCAAGGAACCACTTATTTGGTTAGAAGAGAGGTCCAAATTAACTAGAGCAGTCAGATTGCCAAGGGTCGGAGGGATTTGACCAGTCAGCCGGTTGGACCCAAGATTGAGATATTCCAAAATTTTCAAATTTCCTATTTCAGAGGGAATGGAGCCATAAATTTGATTCTCAGCACCTGAAAGAGATGCTAGTTTGGTTAGGCCGCAAAGAGCTGAAGGAAGGGCACCTGAAAGATTAAGGTCACTGAAGTCTAATTCAAGTAAACTCTTCAAATTTCCTATTTCTTCTGGGAGAAATTCTCCCATTGCGGGATTTGAGTGAATGTCTAGCCGGAAAAGATTTGTCAAATTAAAAAGAGCTGAAGGAATTGTTCCATTGAAATGGTTATTGCTGAGGTCAAGGGAGTCAAGGTTGGACAATTGGCCAAGAGTTGGAGGGATGGGACTCTCAAAAGAATTCTGGCTCAAGTCTAGAGTAACCAAATTTGTCAAGTTCCGAATGCCTGGAGGAATTAAGCTTGCAATCGAGTTCGAAGAAACATCGAGTTGTGCTAGTTGCGTGAGGTTTACTAGAGAAGAAGGGAGCTCACCTTCAAGTCCATTGGAAGACAAATCGAGATAGGCGAGTTTGGAGAGTGCACCTATTTGATGTGGGATGGCTCCGTAAAGTTCATTGCCGCGGAGATTGAGGGACACTAATTTGGACAAGTGGCCAAGAGTTGGAGGGATGCGGACTCCAAAAGAATTCTGGCTCAAATCTAGAGCAACCAAGTTCGTCAAGTTTCCGATACCCGGAGGAATTAAGCTTGCAATCGAGTTCGAAGAAACATCGAGTTGTGCTAGTTGCGTAAGATTTACCAGAGAAGAAGGAAGCTCACCATAAAGATAGTTGAAAGACAAATTGAGATAGGTGAGTTTGGAGAGTGCACCTATTTGTTGTGGGATGACTCCGTAAAGTTCATTTCCACTGAGATCTAGACTAACCAGGTTCGGAAAAGAAGAGAGACCCAAATTTGTCAACTCATCTAGAGTTCCATGGTTTGGAAGTAGTATTTCGGTAACACTACCAGCATCGTTGCAAATGATACCAGGCCACTGGCAGTGGGCAGAGATGTTTGTTGCAGCAGTACTACTGTCTCCCCACCAGCCACTCTTGAGCAGTGCCTCAGCTTCTAATAAATTCACAGCAGACTTTGCTGCTCTTGCTATTGCTACTGGTGCAATAGCCAGTATCATGAGAAGAACAACTCCGCTGCATCCAACATCCATCGATGCTCTATTACCATGAAAGACCGCAATTAAGATAAGACAGATGAAATGTAAGCGCCCGCCCTGACTGAGTAGTCTGGATTGAAAGACTCGCACTTAAAATGGAGTGCAGTCAGCAGTGTTTGTGGTCTTCCGCATTTGAATGGTACGCTGTGTGGAATTTCTCGTAAAAATGCCACGCAATTGGCTATATTGACCGTTCTTATTATAAAGGAAAAGAATTATAGACAATCATCAACAAAAGAGAAAAAAAAAAATCCAAGAACTCTTCCATTATTACTGTGAGCCAATATAAGAGTTAGAATTAACAAGTAGCATACGGTAGCCTTTGTCAAAAGCGGTTCAATCAGAAGGAAATTACTCACAACCCTTTTTTTTCAAAAAAAAAAAAAATTTTTAAAAACACACCCCATCATCTTCACATGGTTCTCCAATCTAATTATTGCTCTTTGTGCTAAAGAGTAAATTATAAATTCTAAGGACAGATTTCTAAAAAAAAAAATCTAATTGTATCTCAAATATATAAGGCTTAGTTTGTGAGTTTAGGAGATTAAAAAGAAAGAGGAACGAACAATTTAAGTTAAGATAAAAAGGAAAATAAGTACTAGAACTTGTTTCGTTTTTGTTGTTTGAGATTAGCCAATATTTCGGTCTTAAAAGTACATTTTGCTGCCAGTAATTCAATACCTTTTTAGTATCTCTTTTGCCTTCTATGGGCAATCAAATGCATGACATATCTTTGTTCAAGGCATTTGCGTACATGTGAACACTGATTAAGACATATGAGTTTAAGCTGTAATGATCCTTCTTTTGCATTTCTATAGATTTAGTTAAAATGTGCAACACGAAATACAACATTTGATGTCATAAATGATCTAGTAATAATTGGTACAATGTGTAGACCAGCACAATCTTGATTTTTTGTCAATGATTCTTTTGTTGATAAAATTGAGACACCAATTTTGAAATTTTAATTACATGAAAAGTTTTTTATATACACAGTTACAGTAAAATTTTTAAAAAACATCTCCAAAAACAGTTAATCCAAACGGAGCCATGGTTATCAAAAAAAAAAAAAAAAAAAGTCGTCATCATTTTTCTTTGAAAAAATTTCATTCTTCTTCGATGAACTTCTGAATTGGAATTTCGTATTACTACTTAACAATTTCACATGGGTCTCATGTAGCTTTGCAATCTGGATCATGACAAAATTGAGTCCAGGTTGATCAATAATTATGTTAAAGATATTCTAGATTTTTTTTTTTTTTTGGGTTTATCCAGCAGCTTCTCAAGATTTGTAGTTTTGGTTCTAATTAAGCTCCTCAAGTGGAACCTGCTCGTGTAACTGGTCAATTCACTCGAAAGTGTAACTGTAGAAAATTTAGAGCTCACTGTTATACCTTAACACCATTTAAATTTTTGATTGTTTTGACAGATGAGGCTATCATAATCCTTCCGACCAATAAAAAAGAATAGAGAATCTTTTGAAATCAGAATAGCACTAGTCCCAAAAAAATTCGAAGATTAAACCACATAACTCCCTCATGATTTGGATTAAAGTGTCAAAATAACGGGAATGATCATTCGTAACGGAGTCATTTAAAATGTCAAAAATACCCTTATGTAAAGTTGAAAATTATTTATCAACCAAGGGGGGTTATGTGTATATTTTGAAAACCATAAGGGGGTTATAATTATATGGTAAAATATAAAAAGCATACGGGGTTAGTGTGCCATGCATTTATAAGGGTAATTTTGACATTTTTAGAAGTTCCATTACAAATGACTATTTCCGTTATTTTGACACTTTAATCCAAACCATGAGCGGGTTATGTATAGTTTTTGAAACCACAGGGGAGTTATGTAAAAAGGAAGTTAAACCACAGGGGGGTAAAATATAATTTGCCCAAAAGAATTTTGTTGAACCATGAACAAACGCGTTGTTTTGGGATGTAAGCCCAGATTCTTTAACTACTCGATCTGTTTTGCTCAATTATTATTAAGCTTTTTAAACACGGTTGATCTTGTCGTGCACAGTTGTATACTATCTAAAAATTGAACTTATTCTGTCAACTTTGACGTCTGATACGCCTGCACAAGATATAAAATAAAATACACGCCTGTACAGTGTGGCTTAATTTATTTTTATATTATCATGTCACTGACTCAATTATTTATTCAATTTTGACCCTTTCAAACTCGTTCGAGTCACCATTTTCACACCTCTAAATTTGAGTATAGTCAGTGAAGGTTTTACAAGTCAAGATTCAAAAACGCCAGTTTTTTTTTTCTTAATATTATAGCTTGGGGCATGATGTGAATGTGTTCGTAGTTTTGGTTTCCCATTCATTCAACCGTGTCACCTACTTTTGTCGTTTGGCCAAATTTTTTTGTGTTACAATTCTTCAAGATGACTTTGTCAATTGATGTTCCATCTTTAACAGCCGCATCAAATGCATAAAGACCAAAAAAATGTTTATATCAACCGTGTTAAGATACGGATTTCAACATTAATTTCATTCTTAAGGAACTTTCATTTCTAACCAAAAAATCTTGATCCATAATTCAAGCATTGGATTTGATACGGTTAAAAGGACTATTATATCCATTCAAAACTCTATTCCAAACATAAAAAGTTGTCAAAAAAGGGCAAAGGAATAATAGTTGATATTTTCAAAATACGGGACAGCTATTGGGACATGCATATAAATGGGACAAAACTACTATACAACAAACTGGAAAATTTTTTGTTACTTGACTTTGAAATATTTCTAATTAGTCAGCAAGCAAGCAAGTGTAAATTACTTCATGACTGTAAGAGTTGTCAGCAGGCATCAATGATACAAAAGTGTAATATAACTTATCATTAATTCTTTTGACAAATTAAGTACTCAAATTCAAGATTGAACCTTCAGGTTCAAATTCTGCATGTGACAGATGACAGATAACAGTTAGGGATGCATCTGAAAAAAAGTGGGGAAAAAAAAATTAGTGCATCTAATTGCGTCAAAAGCCACAAGTTAGTAGGATATCATTATCTCCAGAAAACAGTGTCCTATCCTTTTCAAGACGGTTTGAAATAACCTACATCGGACCCTATCCAAGAACTGAAGATAAGATTCTGTCCATAATGAGTGGATGTTTGACTGAAATCTTCATATGGAAAGACTAAAGAAGGTTAAATTTAACGAATTCTGTTAGTTTACAATTTAGTTCAAATCATAATGTGTCATTTTGTATGTTTTGAAATCACGGGAGGCTTTTTTGTGTATTAGATATACCACAGGGAGGCTTTTTTGTTATTAACCCTATAAATTTTGTGAATTTGGTGAATTGTTTGGTGAATTGGATATAAATTTAGATGATTGAGTTCTTTGGTTATATTTTGTAAATTTGATTTGCAGGAATATATATATATGACGTCATCCGGTTCGACCTCTTATCGACTCTGATCGAACCCATTGGCAGCTGATCCCTGAGCTCGCCCGAGTCGATTTTCGATCTGAGTCTGAAAACATAGGTCACACTACAGTGTAGTGTAGTGTAGTGTGAAGGATGCAAGCCACATCAATCAAATCAAAACAGAAGAATACAGCTTGTGGTCACGAAATTGTGATCGGAAAGATTCCACATAAGCTTTGTTGTAGTTACATTATACTATATGGACTGTGAATTTCGCTACCGGTATTAGTTTTGCTTCTAGTTGCATCTGTTTTAGCTTAATTTATATCTTTTTATATTAATCCTACGCTGTTGGACTTCAACAGTTCAACATTCGCCAAAAGTAGCCTGTCTTATCATTCACTCATCAATTGTTAAACGTAAGGGTTGTTTGATAACTCTTCTAAAAATTAATTCATTTATAAACTTTTGAATTTAGCATGTCTGATAACAGTAGTTTTTCACAAAAAAAAAAAAAAAAGCATGTTTGATAACAGAATGTCTTACGACTCAATACGTTAAGTACTGCTTAATTTGTATACGAACTTTTAAGTGAAAATTTTTTATTGAATTTTATAACTTAACCACGTATACTATAACTCTTATGCATATATACAACATGTTCTCATGCATGCTTTCGCATAAAATGTATATTTGTTCTCTTTCCGTTTACATACACACATGAAAATATACTCTCTCTCATACATAAATATGCACGTTTAAATAATACATAAATGAAAACAATTGTTTTCAAGATAAAAATATAATATTTCTACCATATTTCAATTTAGTATTATAATTCAGTTAATTATCAAACAGATATAATTTAATCAATTCAATAACTTAATATTTTCAATACTTACTTTTAAAATTTTGAAATTCAGATTTCAAACTTCGGTCTTATCAAACAAGCACTTACCATAGTAGTTCGAAACTTAGAATGCATACAAATGAGCAGTGGCTAGGCAAAAGGATTTTTTTTTTTCGCTCTAGTATCCCGAAGAAGTTAAAAAGCAGAACAAAAATGAAGAAAACGCATTGTTGACAAAATCACGTTAATGCTTTATTATGAATAGATACACTATCTAAACTCTAAGGGTTCATTTGGGAGTTGAGGATTTGGACAGAAAAGAAAATGAAAGAAGAGAAAATTTGATTTTCTTTTGTTTGTAAGTTTTTAGTAAGAGAGAAAAGAAAGGAAATAGGAGGATGAATAGTAAACAAATTTCTTTCTCCCAAATTGGAGAGAAATGGAGAGAAAGTTTGAGCAAACATGTGAAACTTTTTTAACATACCTATTTTATCCTTAAAAATGTTTTGAACAAATATTTAATGACTTTCATATCTAAAATCATTCTACTAATTCTTAAAACTTCCAAACAACATAACAATCCCTTCTCTTCTCTCATAACTTAAGTTTTTCTTCATCTTTTCTATCATAAACTCCCAAACTAAGCCTAAACTACTTACCACCAAAACTATAGATTGGTACGTGCCACTGTGCCAGCTTCCGTCCAACGATGCACGCATATATGGTGCTCAAGGGGACAAGAGTCAACCAAAATGGGTTGCCTTGGAAATCATCGACTTGTTTATTTATAGTCGTAATTAGTTGTTCATGTCAATTATTAATGGCTCAATTTACCTCGAAAATTAAAACACATGCTTGGTTGATATAGATATTTGTCCTTGTCAAATCATCATGTTGGAGCCCAGACTCTTAACGGAGATGGAGCAGGGACGGTCATCAGAAGGACCGTCCCGGAACAGTATACGGCCAGGATTTGGTCCAAAAAAATTTTACGGTCCAAATCACTTCTTGTACCTCGTCTTTAATAATGTGTGTGGGACCCACAAAAATTTGTTCTAAAGTTACACGTTATGCAAACAAAGTTACGCCGTGTGCAAACAAAGTTACACGACGTGCAAAATGCACAAAACCGCCCGTGGTCCGACACTTAACTACTCACTTCCATGCAATCTTCCGCATTCAATTACGCAATAGACGAAGAGACCTGTTCTTCTCTGCAAGTGTCTTCTGTTCTACTCTATTGCGCAATTAATTAGCATTAGGTTCTTTCGTCTTTTTCTACACGAATATAGTGAAAAGGATGGATTATTCTCCCTGATCAATAAGGATGCATGATTTTTAAAGTGATTGTTATCATTTCTGACCACAAATGCACATTTCATAATTTTGGGCTGAAATAGCTGCTCGCATCTTCTGATTATTATTAGCCAACAAAATTTTACAAACTGGAAAATGAAACTGATGTTGAAATTATGTTATATATGCACTCCAGTACAAGCAATTCCAATAATTGAAATTGAATGAATATTAAAATGTTCTTCTACCCTTTCTTTATTTGTAATCTTTCCACGAATATTCGATTGGCCCAATCATTTAAGTCCAGATAAAGAGTAATCATCTGAAACAGATGTGAGAACAAGAGCAAATATTCAGGTTCAAAAGAGAGTCGGCCGACTAAGCTAAAGCCCGGCCTAGTGTACTTCATTTCTTCGTTTTTATGAGTTGTTGAGTTCAGACAAATAAACAACAAAAATGCTACTGATAATTTGTTTCTTTTTTTTAGTTGATTACTAGTACGAGTTTTTTAAGCAGGAGAGGAGTAGATCTTTGCGCTGTACAGACACAGAAACTTACTTGTCACGCGAATCCGATTTTCATTTTCATCGTGCCAAAACTCATAATACTCGCTAATACTACACAACAATTGGAATAGAAAAAGCTTTTGTCCTTTTCAATTTACAGAGCCTCGAGGAGTGAAAGTTTTCAATCTCGTATGCGGAAGACAGGAGGAGGAAGGCAATGGCTTCTTCCCTCTCTCCCCCGGAGGTTCCAACGGAACTCCACAGACTCAACAGAGACAAGCTCTTAAAGTCACTGCGGGACCACGTCTCCGTCTCCTCTCGCCCCATCCACGGCTTCGTCTTTCTGCAGGCACAAACCATAAATTCAAAACCAAATTCCAAAAGCGGCAGATGTACTTGAAGTTGAAGCAAGTTGTTACATTCAATGCTGAAATTTCAGCAATAGTGTCAGTCATATCGCTGGCTAAGGGCTTCACGTCAACGGAAGTTTGATGAGCAATAATTCTTAGCGCTTTCGTTTTCATTTGAATTGTGAATGAAATTACACCTTCGCAAAACATTGTGGGGAAAAAAATGTCGAAATTTCCTTTTTTTTTTTTTTTACAATTGATAACGAACATAAAACTAATATTAGTGAAGTAGAGAAATTAAATTAATCATTTGAATTGATAAAAGGGTTTTCGATCATCGAGTAGTATAAGGTTGTTTGAGCCATGTCTGCAATCCAATTGAGTTTCGGCCATTGAATAGCCAACGAAACTGGTTTCCCTCCCGCTGTACTAATAATTAAGCCACAAGGGGCGGCTCCAACTGTGGCATAGGTTGGACTGCGACCAAAAACTAGCAGTGTATTTGATTATTATCGTTCAAATTCTCTACCTTTTTTCTTTCTGCAGGATCCTGATAAGTCATAACAACTAATTCATCTGTAAGTGGCAATCTAGTTAGAAGTTAAGGGTGACCCCACATTGTATGTGTTCTCTTTGGATAAACTAATCAACATCTAATGCTAACCACCTGAAGCAAATGGCTGCTGGTAATTCTAGTGAAAATTGAGACGACAAACAACCTGAAAGCATTAAAGGGGTGGAAATTTTATATTTATATGATGTAGCGTTGGGGTTAAATGTAACTCTATGAGTTCAACTAAGATCAGAGAATTATTCACGTAAACTTGGATGCTAGTGTTTATCAGTTGAGAATTTCTTTTTAATTTTCGCAGCTTAAGATTTTTTTGAATAGTAAAGAAGTTGATTAGGCTTGATTTTGTTTCATTAGTTTGTTTTATGGTGTCTTTGAAGTTTTTGTTAATGATATTTGAGATCCTTTTGTCTGGACAAGTTTGCATTATTTTTCGCATTTTGATGTCATTATTTGGGCTAGTTGTGCCTTTACTAGCGAATGAGTTTCAACAGGTCAGTTGTATGTAAGATGGATATTTCTTTGATTGCTAAAAATTGTTGGTTCATAGTTTATGTCTTCATTTTCAGCGCTGTTCTCCACTATGGACATGCTGCAGCCCCAAATGACAGGGTACGTTTCTTTCTTGCTTCTATGTTCTGATATTTCAGAAATCAAAGAAGTACAAAATATGGCCCTGTGCCTTTAACTTGCAAAATCAGCCATTTCGTTAACTCTAGTCATTCCTTTGATACGAGTGTTGTATGTTGTAGCTAAAAATGTAGAATATAGACTTCTGTGTATGTTCTTTTTGAATATTCTACCAGCAGCAAGAAATTAGTTGCACTTGTAATAGCTTAAGCAAGTTGTCAGGGGCAAGAATTGTTCCTTGTCAACAGTATTCTTTGAATGTGCAAAAGGAGATAGACAGACGATTGTCTACTAAGTAATGCATTTAATTAAACACAATGGATAAATTGGCTGGAAATGTGTGCAAGGATATCTATCCTTAGGTGTCGCTGTATCAGATAATATTAGCTATCATTGTATCTGTATATGTATGTGTACCAAGTTTTTTGTGTCCTAGCTGTTTCTGAAGTGAGAATCAGCTTAGTCTAACTTGAAGAACTATTCTCTGGCTACATAATTTTGTTGCTTGAGTGAGAAACAGGTTCTTCTGTGTTCAGTTTGTTTTGTTTACATTGTTGCTTGAACAAATATTAATGGCTTCTCTTTCACCTGGGCTTTTAGCATGAGTATTGTGTTGTCTTTGTATGAAGGCAGCAATAATTGATTAAGCATAACTGGATGGGAAAATGCCGGTTTTCATCCCCAAACTTTGGGGTAAGGACACATTTCGTCCTTCAACTTTTGGACACGACACATTTGATGTCTAAATTAATAATTTTTTACCAATGTCATCCTCAAACGGCAATTTAGCCAATTTTTAACGGAACTGGTCACGTAAAAATCACATGACCGTTAAGTAAACTTAAATCACAATTTTAACAAAACCTGCCAGTTTCCCATAAAGAGCTGGTATGTTATGGGCAATTTATTATTTTTTTTTAACTTTCACATATTTAATTTATGTTAAATACGAAACATACTAGTTCAATGGGTAAAAATATGTTATGAATAACTCAAAGTTTATACTTTTAATAGTTCAATGGGTAAAAATATGTTATGAATAATTGAAGGGCCAAATTTTTACTATTCAAATAGTTCAATGGCTGCTCAAATAATTTGCTCTTATATAAATAGTAAAAGTATGCAAAGTATATGTAATTTTTAATTTTGAGGGGAGCTTTTTGTAACTATTAAAAATCTCAAGGGATGTTTGTGAAATTATCCCTTTTCATTTTTCATGCTGATTATTTCTTTTCTTACCTATTTTTCATTTTATCCTTATTTTTAACTTCTTTCCCCCCTTACGTACGGGACGCAAGTGTTTATTGATGGATGCTTAGTAAAAATTGCCAAAAGTTGATTGATTGCATGCAGGAAACTGGCAGGTTTTGTTAAAAATGTGATTTAAGTTTACTTAATGGTCATGTGATTTTCATGTGATCAGTTCCGTTAAAAATTGGCTAAATTGCCATTTGAGGATGACATTGGTCAAAAATTATTAATTCAGACATCAAATGTGTCGTGCCCAAAAGTTGGGGGACGAAATGTGCCCTTACCCCAAAGTTTGGGGATGAAAAACGGCATTTTCCCTAACTTGATAGTAATTATTCCTGGCCGCAAAAATTTCGTACATACAGGTTCCAAATCACGAGCCACACAGTGGAAACAAACTGTTCTGTACCTTGAAGATGTGCCGACAGTTTGCCAGGGAGAATCCATAGTGGGAAGCATGACAGTGGCCCCTAACAAGAAGAATCCCCGTGATGTGGATATAATGCTCAAGTATTCAATAAATGGTCGATGCTGTCAGCGTACAAGGTATGAAAGCATTAGCGCTAGTAGCAGTGTACAAGGTAAATTTGTTTTCTTCTTCTATCCTTGTTTTTGGTGCGGGAGTTTGCGAGGTGAAAGGGGAAGAATGGATGGCTTCAGCGCCAGAATGATGTTCAAAATACACAATGAGCACCAATAAAAGTCCTGCTACGGAGCTCAACCTTTGCTGATTCAAAGGGCAAAACAAAACTGCTGGGAAAAATACAGCAATTTACTAGTTGCAGAGCACCACATGTATGGGAATTTAAGATTATACAATGAAGAAAAGGTCAAGGGATTAAAAGAAAAAGCTTTAGGAATTGCTGTTGTTAAAAAGTGTTTTACGGACTAGAGCTCTGACTTCTTGGCATTTGAATTCTTCTTGTTCAATACAGCCTGCCTTCTTTGGTTTCCACCACTTTCTAATCCGGTGGGAGACTTTGTTTGCATGATTCTTGACTGCCTCGCCAGCATTTAGGATTCCTTTAGTAATCCTTCGTTTCCAATCATCCTTCTTGTTTTCCTTTTCCCTCAAGACTTTTCCCTGCAGCAATATTTTGAGTTAGCATGTGGAATCACTTATATTAAATGACATTCAAGCCAAAAAGGATCTTCTTGGCTACCAAATTTGAAGGAAATTGTGCCTCATCTTCATCATCTTCCTCGTCTACATCATCATCACCGAAGTTTTTCATATTCATCAAATCTTCCTTTGAGTACATCTTCATGCCAGGAGCTCCTGGCATCCCCTGAAGCACGAAAGTAAGATCAGAATTAAGATTGACCGTAAGAGTAAAAGGAGGCTGCCATTCTCATATATCAGATAATCACCTCCATAGATTTTAGTATCTTCTCCATTTCAGCCTCCTTGGAGGACTTGGGAACAAAAGGCTCTCCTGGAATCCTATCCTGACAAGACAATGAAAGAATCACAAGGTTGATTTCTTTAGCAAAAGGTACTGATAAACAGAACAGGCAACCACGATAACTAATCAAAGAAACGTGTACAAGAAGTTTTTCTTGTTAGCTAAGCTCAAATATCCATATTAAATTCTACTCAGAGATGATGCTTATATCTGCAATAAAGCATGTGCAAACGGAGATGTCAGCTGTAATCTCTGATCTCTGTAAACGTCTTAAAAGTCATGGTGCACCCATATAGAATTAGCACTTGATGATTAAATTAAAAGTAGGGGGTAGAGGACAGTTGGCCTTGCAATGGCTACAATGCATGCGCTAAATAACACCTTGGTGGTACTTATGGATAAGCTATAACATTGAAATATTTCAACATCAAAACCACAGTATCCTTGGTATATGCTCATCATTTTGGTGACAAGATCTATCAATACAACATCATGCTTTAGAAGCAAACTTATCCAGTCTTTAAAAATCTCTCAACAGCAGCTTTGCATTTTGTCACATTTGTTAGATGGCATTATATGTTCTACCTTTAAACTTCCATGGGTTTTTAACAACTCTCTCTCTCTCTCTCCTGTCACTATCAATATAAATAACAGGAGCCTTGTGAATTTCCTAAACAGAGAAATTGTTGTATGCCATCTGTCTAGACAGTTCTCATCAGTCATACTTTTCCAATTAGATTACTGAGCAAAAACAGAATTGACTATATCAAGCAGGCTTGATGTACTTTTCATAATCTTTCAAGTACAAATATCCTTTTAACTCTTAAAATAGCTTTTTAAAATTATCACTTTTTTCCTAAGCAGATTAAGAAAAACTGAAGCATGAGAGCAGACCCTTCATAACTTCAGATGCATCTGTTGAAGCGTCATGGATAACCCATGTGGCATTTTACCCAGGCATAACACACAAATTTGTTTCTTAACATCCTTTTGTTGCAGGGACCAATACTCAATAACCACACCTATCAAATTTGAACCCATCATTTCACTATTTAGTCCACCTATTCATTTCCACAAAAAACTAGACATGTTACACATGGTTTTGTCATGGTCAAACTTTTCAATGTTAACATCAGATAAATTCCACTATGGCTCTCAAAATTGGTACAACATCTATCAAGAATCACATTCATTGGCTCTTTCACTAATTCTATGTCTGGTTATATTCATAAAATTATTATGTCATACTACCAATTAGAACTAATCCAGGAATTTATGCCCTTGCTTTAAACTCTTCAAAGTCCTTTGCACTTTAAATTTTCAGTAATTACCATTAATTGATAGAATCAGAGAAATTAGCCTAGTTGTCTACATCTATAACGAATACCCAAAGGCACTTGAATCAATTGTTTGTGAACATAGAAAATTTTATATACAGCAACAGAGTCCAGTTTCTTGCCACCTGAGGATTTGGGTCACGAAGGACTAGAGAAGCATTTAAAATAGCTATATGGATTGCCTTATGGGCCCAATAGAGAAAAAAAACTACTGAAATCCACGGTTCAGCATACCTTTTTAACTTGAAAACTAGCCGGTAGACGTCAGAGAAAATTTACCTCAGGAACTTTTGGTGGCTTTTTGCTGTATGCTCCTGTGAGGTCCTTACAAAGAAATTTCACTAGAGAATCAACCTGAGGTTTGTTCTTGTACAGGTATTCTGCCACATCAGTATCTGAATACCCCATGACCTGCAAAATGCTGGAGTTTTTAATATCTTGGTGTTATGCCTCCCAAAGGGGTCAATAAAATATGGGAGCAAATTCAATGAGACATGCAGAAAGCAGAAAGGGCTTGTCAAAGTTAAGCAGGCCAGGCAAGTAGTCTATTTTGTTAACAGTTGAACATTAGTTTCCTCGCTCTGACTGCCACATACAGTAACAGGAAATTGATTTTTCCTTAAAATATACTCTATGTAATACTAAGAATTTCTGTACATGCAGTATCTAAAATTTTGGCCAGTCAAAGTATACAGCGGAACAACTGGTAAAATCTTATTAACAAAAATGATCCATCAATATTACCTCTTGACAAGCTCGCTCAATTGTTTTACATTCTGAATTGCACTGTCCTTCAGAGTCTTGTTCAACAAGCTGCATCCAAGCAAATAAAAGAGACATAAATGATAAGGATGAAAGTCAAAAACATAAGTTGATGGGATATCAAACTGCTATTATACTTAACCTTTGATGCACTTCAACTTCAACTTCATTCATCGGTGTCACAATCACCAATAATCCTTACAAGAGCAAATTCCATTGTGAAAATGGTGGAAGCGATTGGAATCACGAATAACAATTTCCTTGTTTGTAATGTCAGACACACCCTTCATGAACTCATGGCAGTCTCCACATATACGAAGATTTTTAAAGATTCTAATTCTTCCACCATTGGCATTGCTCACAAGTGCAAAAGCCAAAGCTAGCCTCTCGCTATGATGAAAGAGGTGTTCTTTCTTATCAGCATCTGGTACATTATGAAGCACATAATGTGTGTTTGGAGTATAACCAATTGACTGAAGTCTTTGATGCAGGTCCTCCAACTTTTGATAAATATCAGTTAATCGTGGATGTGAAGCATCCTGAGACAAAAAGACATGCGTTTTGGCATCGACCTCAACCCAGCTACAACCAGGTTCCTTCTTAACACCTCTACTCGACATTAATGCTCTAATTCTTGAGACATCATTCCACCTACCTTTGGCTGCATATATGTTAGACAACCATATATAACTTGAATCGTCATCAGGTTCAATTTCGAAAAGTTTTTGAGCAGCTTTTTCACCCATTTCTACATTTCCATGAATTTTACAAGCCCCAAGAACAGTCTCCCAGATTAACGTATTTGGAGCTATTTTCATATGTTGAATGAAGCTTTCCAGCTCGCTAAACCTACCTGCCCTGCCAAGGATATCAACCATACAAGCATAGTGATCAACTGAAGGAGCAATTCCATATAATTCGCTCATCAAGTGGAAATGCTTCTTTCCTTCTTCAACCAAACCCATGTGGCTGCATGCAGAAAGGACACCAATAAAACTAACCCCATTAGGCTGCACATCTTTATTCAACATGGCTCTGAAAGACTGAAGAGCCTTTTCATTCTGCCCATGTCTGGAGTGTCCACATATCATTGTGTTCCACAGCACTGTATCAACTGTTTCTATGCTCTTAAATATCATTTCAGCATCATCTATGCAACCACATTTTCCATACATATCAACCAGTGCACTGGCCACATATACATCACAAAAATGTCCAGACTTAATTACCCAGGAGTGCAGCTGCTGTCCATTTATAAGGCTTGTTATCCCAGCGCAAGCCCTCAGGCAGCTGGCCAGAGTAAATTCGTTAGCTTTAACTCCTTCCCTATGCATCCGATTGAAGAAGCCAAGGGCCTTCTCTCCTTGATTATCAGTTTGAGCATAACCAGCAATGAGAACTGTCCAAGTAAAGATGTCCCTTTCACTCAATCTGTTAAAAATCACCTCCACATCATCCAGGCATCTGCACTTAGAGTACATGTCAATCAGAGCAGTTCCTACATCACCATCAGTACAAAGGTTATTCTTAAGTAAATAGGCATGCACTTGCTTCCCAAAACTAGCATTTAGCTGGCTAGTGCAAGACCTCAAAGTGCTTATTAAAGTGTACTGGTTTGGCCTTAGGCCTTCTGTAAGCATCTTCTTAAAAATCATTGGTCCTTGATCAGAACTTTCACCATCATGATATCCAGATAAAAGTGCATTCCATGAAACCACATCCTTTTGACTCATCGCAGAAAAAACCTTTAGACCATCATAAACTAAACCAAGTTTCATGTACATGGTGATCAGAGCATTGCTAACTGACAAATCGGACTCAAAATGAAATTTCCAAATGCAAGCATGAATGCTTTTGCAAAAGTGTGGATCACCCAAATCCGTGGCAGTGCTAACAACAGTTGAGAGTGAAAATTGGTTAGGCCTCAATCCCGATTGCATCATCAAACGAAACAACTCCACCGCCTGTAGTTTCTGTCCTTGTTGATCAAGGCCACTTATCATCGTACTCCAAGTCACAATATCAGGGTCCCTGATCATCTTAAATACTTGCAGTGCATCATTTGCCAACTCACATTTGGAATACATATCGACTAGACCACAACTAATAAAATCATCAAAGGCACTCCCGATCTTGATTGCCATTGAATGAACAACCTGGCCTGCCCGCAAACTCCGCGAACTTGCACATCCCTTCAGAACAGTTGACAAGGTATAGTTACTGAACCTCATATCAGACTCTGTCATTTTACAGAACAAAATCAAAAGTTTATGCCCATCACCCAGTTGGGCATACCCATTAAGCAAAGCATTCCATGATACAGCATTCTGCTCCGGCATGACGAAAAATACTTTATCTGCATATTCCATTTCACCACACTTAGCATAAAGATCAACTAAAGCAGAACCAACATAAACATCTGTAAATGCCTCCCCTTTAACAACCTCAGCATGCAACTGTTTCCCGAATTCTAAACCAGAGACCATGGAACAAGCTCTTAAAACTGTTGCCAATGTGAACTCATTAGGTCTTATGCCTTCCCTCCTCATCTCACAAAATAACTCAACACCTTCTTGGCCAAGCCCTTCAGCTACAAACCCCGAAATCAAAGCAGTCCACGACACTACATCTTTCTCAGGCATCTCATCTAACACCCTACGCGCAAAGCTCAAAGCTCCACACTTAGCATAAAAGTTAATTAACGAAACAAATAAATGACTGTCAAGGTCAATCCCAATCTTGATCAAATTTGCATGATGAGCTTTACCCTCATTCAAGCATAAATTTACAGCACAATACCGAAAGGTTTCCGAGTACCATCTCAACACCCTTCCTCTGTCCAAATTTACAACACCGCCGTCGTCATCCACCCCGCCTAAATAATCCTCTCTAATTCTCCTTTTAATCCCTCTTTGCATGGGAAGCAGCTCCGAATCAGGAGAATCGAGATTTCTCGGCCCCCCTTTGGACCCATTTGAGAGTCGGAATCTTGGGATTTCTTTGTTCCTCCCTCCATTTCTGGACCCCTTTATGGGTGCATCAGGCGGCCCAAATCTTGGGATCTTGGCATTTCTGAATTGAGAATCGGTAGCTATATTATTGTAGTCGATGATTCTGAGAGCAGCACAAGAGGAAGAAAGAGACCGCACTGATAGTAAAGGTGGTGGAAGAAAAAGTGTCTTAGACTGCAATTGCTTGAATCTTGCTGGCATCTAGTCCAAAATTAAATCCTAGCCAACAGGCACAAATAAGTACAGAATTGTTAAACATCTCATCTATATCCAAGTAAATGAAAGTAATATCTGTTCCAAAAAGTAATGATATAAATGCAAATACATTTTCGACAATTTGAATGATGCAACAACATACTTGGCAAAGCGTATAATACAACTCAACACATTTTGCAAAAATTCGCATGACATGTTACTGCTGTGAGAAACAATATTACTGGGGGAAGAAATTATAATTTATGCCCATAATGTACAGGTATCTCATTTATCTATTGGACCACGTCAAAAAGCACAACGGTCTGAACATCCACTGGAAGAAATCATCACATTTAAGGGGAAAAAATTTTCAGAGAAGCATCATTTTACATGAAATTAGAAACGCCACCAGACTGCTCTCCGGAAAAGCATAAGAACGTCCAATTATCACTACCCAACCAAGTTTCTGGCTGCAGTACAACCAGATATACACAAAGAAGCAAGGGGTTAGCCGAATACCCATCGCATAATGACAAACTTCAATTGAAACTATATGAACAATGGCCACCTTTACTAACACAATAAATCAAAAGTTATACATTTTCAGCATCTTAATCAATTCATTTGGTCCACATTTGTCCCAGATGAAGTTGCACTTTTGCTATGCACAACTTAATCACAATTCATGTAATAAACGAATAGACAGAGAACAGGGTGGGGAAGGAGGCAGCAGTTCAGGCAAATGACTTGGTTTCTTTTGCTGGATTGAAACAGCAGGAAAACATATCAAGGACTGTAATATCTAAGGCATATTTCCTATATTTTCTAAGGGAATGACAATATTCAATCAAATTCAATCCTCAACAACTACATTCAAGGGGAATTAACCAAAATAATAACAATATAGAAAGAGAGACAATTTTCCTTTTGTCGTTTAAATTTCTTATACTTTTCTCTCTTCAGCTTTAGATGAAGTCTTATATGGCTCCGATATCTGGAACAGGAAACAATCAGCAATTAAGCATACAATCAGAGTCAAACACTAAACCCAGCAGCATGCTAAACCCCAAAATGACAACAAACATCATACACTGTAGATTCACGCAATAATCGCCAAAAGCAACAGATACATTGAACGTATAGACAAGCTCGGAAATAGAATAACAGAAGAACGAGATCCATGAGAAATCGGTGCAAAACCCTAGACGATGAGCTGTGCTCCGAGTAAATCAAAGCCGGAAGTGGAAACTACGGCGAAATCAAAACTGAGAATGAGAATGAGTTAAAGTTACCTGCGAAGGAGAAAAGAGAGTTAATAAAGAAGAAGTGGGCGAGGCGGCGTGGATTGTGTGGCCTCAGCGGCAGCTTTGGCTTTGTTTTGCGAAGGACTGCTACCGTGTGACTGCTAACGAGACCGAGAAATTTGTCAGGGTCCGGACTGCATAAGCTCAGAAATTGAATTTGGGGGGATAAGAGAGAGGAAGAGGGGGGTTGTAGAGAAGAATGAGTTGAGAGGGAAAAGGGTTGAGAGAGAAAAAAAAAAGAAAGAAGAAGACTGATTTCTGTAATTTCCTTTCTCACTTTCCCACGTAACGGATCTTTCGTACCACACCCTGTCTCACATCCTGTCTCGTTCCTTAGAATCTCGTCAAATGTCCCTTAATAAACCAAACCCTCAAACAACCCAACTCGAACCATATTAAGTTAATTAATCGATTAACCGGGCAAAAAAACTTGAGCGAATTGCGCGAAATGTCACTAAACTATTTCAAAGTGCCGGTTATGGTCACTAAACTTTTTTATTAGAGCGAAATGTCACTGAACTAGTAAATCTATACCGTTTTGGTCACTCCGTGTATTTGTGCCGTCAGGAGAGACGGAAATCAACTTTTTGAGGAGCAAATTCGTCTGCACAGCCTTAATGGAAAGAGTTTCATCTAGTAAGTGAAAGGTTTAACTGTGGGGCTTTGGAATGTTGGTAAAATTTTTGGGAATGTGGACAATGACAGTGAAAAGTATCAAAATTGATCCATTCTTCTCACAGTAATCAGTGACAAGACTCAAAGAACCGGCAAAAGACGAAGATTAGCAGTGAAGAATCGGTCATCGATGACAGCGAACTGGGTGAAAAGGCAAAGGGATGAATTCATTGATCCGTACACATTATACGGTAAGAAATATTACAATCCGTACACATTTTGCTTGATTAATGGTGTTGTTTGTGTTTTGAGTATAAAGAAGTATTTAGTGAGAGTTTTTATTGGGTTTAGGGTTTGCTGAAGTGATCCGGTTGTTTAGAAAATGACATAAGAACGATTGACTTCCCTTTTTGTCGTATAAGTGGGTTGCAAAGGGTCCTACAAGAACCCTCTATCTTGTAATTTAATCATAAAAAATAAACTTTTCAAAATGCAGTTGTCTGATTCGGGTTAATTAACAAATGGGGGTTAAGTATTTTTATAAGAAGAACAGCATGTATGACAATAAAAAATGGTGATTAACAAGAATCATGTTGTTTGCCTTTGTCGTTGTTGTTGCAGTTCCTAATAGACCTGCATTTTCGATTAAACTCCACCACGGCGGTAAAATTGAGGGAGAGAAATACAAGAGTTATGTGGATGGAGAGATTGATTATTTCGATCTTTTCCATGCTGATTTTATGTCGATACATGAAATAAATAAAATGGTGGAAAAGTGTGGGCACAACGATACTATGTTATATTATTACATTGACCCTAGAGGGGATTTGAACCATGGACTGATGGAACTTCAAACGGATGAAGACATTATGCAATTCTGTGGTTGGGTTAATGAGTACAAGTTGATGGAAATATACTGTCATCATTTAACAGTTGAGGAAATATATGAGTTGCAAAAGAAAAAGGAATTGGAACAGTTATCACAGACAAAGAGTTTAGTGGTAATAGAGGAGATCTTGGATGATGGTGAAATTCTTACACAACAGGCAGCAATACCTCATAGACAACGAAAAGGAGTCCAAGCTAGTAGATTAGTTGCAGCTTTAGAGTGGACACATGACCATACTGGTGAAGATGAAGATGCATACCAAAATTCTTCTAGGAGATGTGAGCAGGCCAACAACAATACACAGGATCCGAGCCACAAATGCATAGCCAAGTTGATAATGACCCAACTCCATCAAGTCAGAATAGGAGGGACAATGATAGTTCCAGGAATAGAAGAAACGGAGATAGGAGAAAATCTCGTACGTCGGAGGCCCTTTGTGGTGCTACAAAAAGAGTTAGAAAAGGAGGTGTAGCAAATGAAGGTGTATCAAATAATGGTGCTGCAACTGAAGGTGCATCAAATGGAGGTGCAGCAGGTTAAGGTGCATCAAATGGAGGTGCAGTAGGTGAAGGTGCAACAAATGAAGGTGCAGCAACTGAACCTGTAACAGAAATTGGGGCAGCAACTGAAGCTGAAGCATGTGAAAATAGAGAAGATGCAGCAACTGAAGCTGAAACAGAAGCTGGTCCTGAAACTGAAGCTGAAGCATGTGAAAATAGAGCGAAACACAACCCACTATTGGATGATATTGTGGAAGGGGAATTAAATAGTGATCCAGATTCAGAAGATGAAGATGTTCCTGTGAGATACACTAGTTTCAATGCTAGCAGAGATGGAACAGATCCCCATTTTCATGTTGGGCAAAAATTTGGAACCAAAAAACAGTTCAGAGATGCTCTCAGAAATTATGCAATTATAAGTGGAAGACTTGTATACATGTATACAAGTGACAAAACAAGAATGAGAGCTAAATGTGCAGATCCATGTAAGTGGTACATTTATGCTAGCCACGTTCCTGCTTTGGGTACTAAAGACTTTGTAGTTAAAACAATTTACGATGTCCACACCAATTGCAGCCATGCTTGGAGAAACAAAAACATGACATCCAATTGGGTAGCCGACAAGTTTGAAGAGTCTGTTAGATCCAACATGAACATGCCTGTTAGGCAATTGTTACAGAGTATAGATGAGCAATATAGTTACGAGATCACAAGAAACAAAGGTTACAAAGCACTTGCAATGGCTAAGGCTGCTATCAAAGGGTCAGCATCTCAGCAGTATATTGATGTTGGGAGGTACGCAGCAGAACTACAAAAAACTCACCCTGACACCACTATAGACATCAAGTATTCACCAAGAGCTGATCCTGAAAGTAATCCCAGATTCATGAGATTTTACTGCTGTTTGGGACCAATGAAAAAGGGATTTAGAGAGAGATGTAGGCCCCTTATTGCTCTTGATGGCTGTCACACTAAGGGGGCATATCCAGGGCAGTTGTTGACTGCTATTGGGGCAGATCCAAATAATGGTTGGTGGCCATTAGTTTGGGTAGTTGTTGAGAAGGAGGCTCGGGAACAATGGTTTTGGTTTTTGAGTTTACTGATTGGTGATCTAGAAATACCAGCAACTAGCAGTGAATACACTTTTATTTCAGACCAACAGAAGGTTAGGAATACTGTTCTTTATCCTTATAGCATGTATTGTATAGGATAATTTTTGCAAGTGACTAAACTTAGAACTCTTTTATAGGGTCTTGATAGTGCACTGCTGGAGTTATTACCAGAAGCTGGCCATAGATATTGTGTACAGCATATGTACAAAAATTTCAAGAAAAAGCACCCTGGTGAAGTGCTTAAAGAAAAATTCTGGAGCATTGCAGCAGCATCAACAGTGGAGTTCTATGAGGCAGCGTTGGAAGAGCTTAGAGCATATGACCAGCAAGCTCACGCGTGGGTCAAGAGAGCTGCACCACCTCATCACTGGTGTAAGGCTTTTTTCCACTTCACATGAAATCTGACATGTTGGTTAATAATTTATCAGAGACATTTAATTCTCATATATTAAATGCTAGAGAGTTGCCAGTGATTGAGATGGTTGAGTGGATTAGACAATTCATAATGGAAAGGATATCAAATAGGGTGTATTGGATGAGAAAATGTAGTGGTCCTGTGGGACCAGCAATAAAGGCTTTGATTGAGGAGAGGGAAAAGTTTTCTAGAAAGTGGAAGCCAATATCAAATAGGAATGGGGGATATCAGGTTAGGAGACCTAAGGGGGACCAATTTGCTATGTACTTAAGAGACAGAACCTGTACATGCAGGTTGTGGCAAATTAGTGGGCTCCCCTGCTGCCATGCAATTTCTGCCATTTTAAAAATTGGTAGGAACCCAAATGACTATGCCGATCAGTGTTATAGTAGAAATCTATTCTTTCAAATATATGAGAATGTACTATATCCAATTAGTGGAAAGTCTCTATGGCCTCAGAGTGATATTCCCATATTAGATCCTCCACTTGCATGTGTCCAACCTGGTAGGCCCAAGAAAGCATGTGGGAACGAATAGAAGTGGTGTTCTGAAAATAGAAGTGGTGTTCATGTGGGAACGAATAATGTGCAAAAATTAAGAAAGCATGTGATCATGCACTGTAGAAGATGTGGTCAGGCAGGCCACAATGCTGCTACCTGCAAAAGTGTTCCAGAAAATAATGGAGGTGAAGGCTGCAGTCAACCTGCTCCAGCTCCTAAACATGCTAGAAAGTCAAAAGGCACCAACAATGGCTCAAGCACAACACATGGGGCTAATTCTCAGGAGCCTGATTTTGCTCATGTGGAAGTTCAAGGATATTCTTCAAGTTGTGTCAATTCTCAGCCACATGGAACTGAAGAGCAAACTACTTCCCATAATGACACTGGTTCACATGCTGAACGTAATGCACAAGCTGCCACTAGTAGTACGAAAAAGCAGCAGATTAGAAAGACTAAGACACCTGTAGGTGCAAAAATTTATTTCTAATTTTATTTTTAATTTTACTATGGTAAATAGCTATTGTTAATATTTATTGTACTTGTGTACAGGTGAGGAGAGTTAGGCCTGTCAATGATACCGACCAGTCTACTACAGCGGCCAACAAACAGTCTCTCCATTCAAAGAGAAAGCTGTCTGAAATTGACAAGATAAGGATCAACACCAACTATAAGTTCTTGGGCAAAGAGCCTCCATTCAAGATTGATAGATGGGCTGGAACATCAAGGAGCAGTAGAAGTAGAAGTGGAAGATCAGATTAAAGGACTTGTTTGCATAGCTTTTGTTTGGATGTATTCCATGTCTAGGACAATTCCAGATTATTTATATGTGAAACATGGCTAACTTTGTTGGCAGTTGTTTGGAATGACAGTGACAATTATCTCTTTTGTAAAGCAGCTGTTTGGAATGATAGTGATAATTATCTCTTTTGTTGTATTTGGCTTTATGTTTTCTGCATTTGTGAGCTACTTTTCTTTTGCACCACCCATATGTTAGAACTAATACTTCAGTCTTTTATTCATAAATTACAATTTCAAACATCCATGGTGTAAACAACACCAACCAAAATGAGGTGTATATAAAAACACTACAACCTCAACAAAAATGAGCTGTGTATTAAAACATTTGACAACACTGGTTTAGGATTTGAAGTACAACAATACTCTAGTAGCCATCAATTTGCAGCCTTCCAAACT